CCCCAAGTCGCACTGGGTCTTTCTCTTACTGGAAGGACATGGCAGGCTGGACTTTCAAAGGGTGAATCACACTCAAAGACATAAGGACCCACCTGTGGCCATACTGTGGGAACCTGGAGTCCAGCCTGGTTTCTTCTGCACCCCCACCCTGCCCTGACCTCAACTGGAGTCTTCAGACAGCCTGGCCCTGGGGCCTGCCCTGAGCCCAGTCCCCCACCAGGGTGGGTCCATGAAAGCTGAGGGCCTGCCCCGCCCTTTCCAGAAACCTGGCTTCAGAGTCAGGGGTGGAGATGACGGGCCTGGGAGCAAGCTCTGCCACATCAACCAGGCTGTGGCACAGGCCTGGCCATGTGCCCAGAGTGCAGCACTCACCCTCATAAGCCATCAGTGGTCTGGCCAGAGACAAGGCCTTGTCCTGGAGCTCACAGGGAAAGAGGTCCCTGGGCCTCCAAACCTCCCACACACATGGGAAGGCCCAATCCAGACTGAGCGGTGGCAAGCTGGCTCCCCCTTGAGAGAGGCTGCTCACAGGTGATAAATTGAACAGCAGTTGCAGTAGATTAGCCTGCACTAAGTACTGCCCTAATTGCTACACTCGTTATTTAATTCTTATTTAATTCAACCTTCATAACCATCCCCACCCTTTATGTAGGGGAACTCAGAAACACAGTGAGTAACTTGCCCAAGCCCCAGAGCTGGGACATGGCAAAGCCAAAATTTGATGGGAAAAAGTGTGGTTCTAGATTCAGAGAATGGGACCCCAGCTGCAAGAGCTGGGCTCCAGGCCAGTGAACCCCTGGAGAACCTTGTCCTCTCTTAGTTTTCCCTCCTCTAAAGTGGGCACAGTAGGAGCGAGCTCTGCCCAAGACACCAGTATGTTTGGAGAACAAAGCTGGTGACAGAATGGAGGCAGGGTCTCCATCTCTCTGAGCAGGGCTAAGAGGAACATATGGGTGTATACAGGGATCCATGAGACCAGGGGTCATGGACCCAAGGTAGGGTAAGGTGGGAACTAAGAGTGGTGAAGAGGGTGGCCCTGCAGGGTGTGCAAGGGCCAGTGGGCACAGCATGGTTCAGGGTGCCACTGCAGCCCCACCCAGCTCTTGTGTTGGTCCTGCCACTCTTTGGCCATCCCTGCACCTTCATTGTTGGGCTCCATTTCATGAATAAATGAAATGTATGAACTGGGAGGGGTGAGTTTATGCTTAGGAGTCCATCTGAGTGCATTCCTGTGCACACATCCATGGTCCTTCTGTTCCCTATGACTATCAGGAGAGGATAACAAGACCACTTAGCCTTGTTCTGATGCACCCTTTCCTGTTGAACTTGGAAGGACTCTCTGGCCGGAGCTGATGTCCCAGGTTTACCCCTGCACCCTGCATTCTCTCTCCTTGGACCCAGCGACAGGGTCCCCAGACTGCTGATGGGCAAATGCTCTAGTCTCTATATGGGTGAGGAGCTGCTGGTCTCCCACCTAGACACAGCACTCAGGTTAACCTGACCCAGCAGGGCCTCCCCAGGAAGCAGTGTCTGGGCACCCAGATACTTTTCTGAGGAAAGAACCTAGAGGTGGTTATGCTAAGTGAAATAAGTCAGGCACAGAGAGACAAATGTCATAAGCCCCCTTGGATGCACAATCTAAAAGATTATAGAACTTACAGAAGCAGAGAGTAGAACAGTGGTTACCAGGAGCTTGGGAAAAGGCAGGGTGGACAGGGAAAGAAAAAGACATTGGTCAGTGATACAAAGTTCAGTCAGACAGCATGGTAAGTTCTGAGGTTCCAGGTGACTCTTAATTAATAATAGTGTACACTTCAAACTACAGTTCTTCCTTTTCTGGGGAAAAGGACCCCTGGATATCTGAAACCAAGGCTAGTACAAAACCTAAAAATGCATGTTTTTTCTACTGAAGTTTGCTGAATAAATTAGTCACAGTAAGAAACTAACAAAAGCAACACTACTAACAACAGGTGTTGGCAAGGATGCAGGGGAAAAAGGAACCCTCTTACACTGTTGGTGGGAATGTAAACTAGTACAACCACTCTGGAAAAAAATTTGGAGGCTACTTAAAAAGCTAAACATTGATCTACCATTTGATCCAGCAATAGCACTCCTTGGGGATATACCCAAAAGACTGTGACACAGGTTACTCCAGAGGCACCTGCACACCCATGTTTATTGCGGCACTATTCACAACAGCCAAGTTATGGAACAGCCAAGATGCCCCACTACTGATGAATGGATCAAGAAAATGTGGTATCTATACACAATGGAATTTTATGCAGCCATGAAAAAGAACGAAATGTTATCATTCACTGGTAAATGGGTGGAATTGGAGAACATCATTCTGAGTGAGGTTAGCCTGGCCCAAAAGACCAAAAATCGTATGTTCTCCCTCATACATGGACATTAGATCAAGGGCAAACACAACAAGGGGATTGGACTTTGATCACATGATAAGGCGAGAGCACACAGGGGAGGGGTGAGGATAGGTAAGACACCCAAAAAATTAGCTAGCATTTGTTGCCCTTAACGCAGAGAAACTAAAACAGATACTTTAAAGCAACTGAGGCCAATAGGAGAAGGGGACCAGGAACTAGAGAAAAGGTGAGATCAAAAAGAATTAACCTAGAAGGTAACACACACGCACAGGAAATCAACGTGAGTCAACTCCCTGTATAGCTATCCTTATCTCAACCAGCAAAAACCCTTGTTCCTTCCTATTATTGCTCATACTCTCTCTTCAACAAAATTAGAGATAAGGACAAAATAGTTTCTGCCTGGTAGTGAGGGGTAAGGGGAGTAAGGGAGGGAGCGGGTGGGGGGGGCGGGGGAGGGGGTAGGAGGGGATAAGTAAGGGAGGGGGAGGGGGAAGGGGGGAGAAATGACCCAAACATTGTATGCACCTATGAATAAAATAAAAATTAAAACAAAAAAGAAACTAACAAAAGGACCGATAATACAATAGAACATAATGAGACAATGTAATAAAAGGTGTGTGAATGTGATCTCTCTCTTTCCATCACAAAAATACCGTATTGTACTGCTGTGCTTCCCCTTCTTGATGACCACAGGTAACTGAAGCTGTGCAAAGTGAAACCGTGGACAAGGGTTGACTACTGAAGCTAAGAGAGAGGAACATCTCAGGATGCAGTTTTTTGGGACAGCCCATATGTGCCAGCACAGAGGGATGACCCTTCTCTAGCTAGGAGAAGAGCAGCTGCAGACAGGACCAAGACATGGCCACCATCGCCTCTTGTCCCTCTATATATGGAGACCTTGAGGCCTAGAGATGGAGCCTTAGTTCGGACTGATGCCTCTGTCTCTGAGCTGCCCTCCCTGCCCCTCAAGGTGGCAGGTGAGGGTAGGGCTACAGCACCCTACTAGGGGAAGGGGCTGGGGTCTAGCTCAGATTTCCTACCCTGCAGACTAGGAGAGTAGAGCTAGCCTTGCACCTAAGAGCTGCTACAGGGTCCCCAGAGATCCTAGCAAGAGCTGTTCTTGGGCCTGAGGCTCTGGCTCCTCTTTCCTTGCCCATTTTCAGGCCATTTACATTTAGACCTTCTTGACCCCCCCGGAAGATGCTTGGGTTCTAAATAACCATGGTTCTTCAAATTCACTAGGCTGGCTCCTGCTTCTAGAATTTAGTGTATGCCATATGCCTACCACATGTACGTTCCCCTTCCCATGACTTTCTTCTCCTCCTCCTCTGGCATGGACACACTTTCCTCCTAAAGGCCCTCCCACCTGCCAAGGCTAGGCAGGACCCCTGTCTATGCTTCCCCAGCCTCTCGGGCCCCCCTTGCTGTCACACTGAGCCCCCTCCCTACATGCCCAGCACAGTGCCTAGTGTGCAGTCAGAGCTTATAATAGTATTGAGGAATGGATGGATGGAGAAGAAATGACACCAAGACCTGGATTGCTCAAGACCACAGCCTTTTCCTGTCTTTATCACTAGCACCTGTCATAGGGCTTGGCACACAGCATGGGGTAAATCGAACACTGTGGTATTGCATAGCACAACTCAGCTAGTAGGTACACAGGGCCCAGGGGTTCAGCATAAGGAAATGGTTTCACTCTTCCTGGGAGATGATGTGAAGCCTTCTCAAAGGTCCGGACTGCTGGGTGGCAAATGGAAAATGGAGCAAAGACATCCCAGGCAGAGGAGTGGACTAAGCAGAGGCCTGGCAGTGCAGGAGAGCATGCCCATTCAGGGCATTTCCCTAGAGAGCTGTGAATTAGGTCATTTCCCATCTTGTGTAGTTTCCATGTCCTTCTGCTAACTAAGAACCATATAGTCCTCTTCATCTCAGGGACCCTGGGTTCCCAGCTTGTGAATTCAAGCAGGTCAAAGGAATGGGGAAACTGAGGCACCCAGAATATCCCAGACCTCTCAGCAGCTCTGAACAGCTGCCCAATGAAACTAGCCTTCCTTCCTCCCTCAAGGGCTTCCGGCCCCTCAGACATCTGGCTCTTAGTGCCCTGGCAAAGAGGAGAAAGAAAACAGGAACCATTTGAAGAGGCTTCCATTGTTCCCCAGAGAGTGACTCAGGCAGGGAACACTCCCTCCCCACGCGACAGCGCTTTTCCCCAGTGTGCTGTTCCTGGTGACTCACAGCGTACAATCATAAACCCTGTCCACTGTTCACGCCTCCCTCGTGGGCTGTGAGAACATGTGAGCACTATGTGGGCACCTGACTCCCCAGATCAGCAAAGGAAGCTCCCCCAAGCTTGGCAGATACTAGGGCTGTGGGTCCTCTCTCACTCCCTGGACACCAGGGTCTTGCCTCAGGGAAAGAGACAGAAATGCCATTCGGTGTATGCAATGTGCGCCAGCCTTTTATTCCTGGTATGATGTGGGCATGGGGGTAGACAGGTGTGCTGGCTTCCAGATGGACCAGCTTCTGGTTTGCAGGTAGAAGTCCAGAGCCCTGGAGCTGGCAGTAAGCAGGGCAGGGACGCAGGCAAGGAGCAGAGTTTTCATGAAAGACACTCAGGTTCTACTTCCAGCGCCCAGTAACTTTGGCCTTCCCACGGGTCTTGGAGCTGCAGGGGAAGCAGGACTCAGTCAGATGGGGGACACAAGGCAGGGCAGTAGGCCTGCATAGGATAGGGGCAGGAGAGAGGATGCTGAGGGTTGAGTAGCAGCCTGGAGCTGCCTCCAGGGGCAAAATAGGAAGAGCCTTGGGCTGCATGACATCTCTCTGGCCCTCCATTCTACCAATTCCCTATTGGCAAGCAGCAGTCAAGGGGAGAAAAGACGGGGGCTTGAGAGGAGTCTGAAAAGGAAGGCTGTGAGCTGAAGGAGAGGAGGAGGGCTCAAGGGGCCCCAGTCTTCTGAGAAGGAACAGGATGAAGACAGGAAGGGAGGAGAAGGGGTGGGCAGTGAAAGGAGAACCTCAGACACTTACACTTTCTGGTTGTCATTGATCCTGTTTCGGAGAACATTGATCTGCAAGAGAAGTGGGGAAGACAAAGAGTGACGTTGGAGCCCATTGAGCTCAGGTCCTAGGAAGCCAGGAGCAAGGGACAAGGGGGCTCAGCATAGCTGGAAGGTAGAGGGAAGAAGAGAACACTGAACACCATTGGAGGCAAGGAATGGGGGCAAGCCACAAGTTGAATGGATTGAAGGGGGTCAAGGAAAGGGGCCTGAAGGACAGCAGTTGGGCAGTGGGCGGGGACCCAGTCACAGCAGGAGGAGCATAGGGGGAGGAGCACAGCATGGGGCTCACTTCGTATTTCTGCTGCTTGAACTTCTCCTGCAGGTCAAACTTTTCTGCCTCCAGGTTATAGATACTCTGCCACAGTTCCTTGGCCTTCTCCCTACACAGCCACAATGGGAATGGAGTGGGGGTAACAAAAACAGGGCCCTTGTCAGCCTTCACCCTAGTTCTGACACAGCTCCCAAGGGCCCCAGTCCTCCCTCCCACCTCAGGCCTGTTCAAGGGTAGCCCTAGACCACAATAACAGGCCTGGCCACCTGGCACCTGGTGTGCCCAGTGCTCAGGAACAAGCCCCAGGGGCTGCCAAGGCTGTTTTGAAGGGGAGAAGCCTTCTTGACCCTACAGAGCATCTTGTTCAATCCCCCATCCCACGTCTTATGTGCAGGTGGGCAAGATGAAGCTCCGACAGGTGAGGGGTCTGCTCAGTTCTCTTTGCCTATCAGCTAAACCCTGACAAGGTGTGGTGGCCTGACCACCTAAGCCAACTCCAGTCCCAGTAACCCACTTTCGGAAATGTGTGAGGGTGTAGCGCCACCTGGTGGTTCACAGTGAGAAGTGCCCTTTGCCCCACCACCCTCAACCAGCTACAAGGGAGGAGCACCCCAACCAGCCCCACCTCAGCTGGTCTTCATTCAGGTGGTCAATAGCCAGCACCTTCCTCCTCTCAGCCAGAATCTTCTTCTTCTTTTCCCGCTCGGTCTGCCTCTTCCCACTCTTCCGCTCTGTCTGGAGGGGTAGTGAAAAGAGAGATTTGGCTATAAACTGGCCCTCCCTCTCCCCAGACCCTCCCAACGATCCTTGGAGAGTGGGGACACACCTGCAGAGGACCTGGTTCTTATCCTCTTGCTCCTGCAACACCCCAAACCATCACCTGCCTGGATTCCCCAAAGAAACTGAGGCAGGGGTGAGGATCCTGAGGGACCTTGCTTCAGGCTCCTTCTGCCCACTCAGCCCAACCTCTGCTCTCCACCCTCAGCAAGGCACTGTCCTCTGCCAGGAAGCTCCCCAAACTAAGGTGAGGGAGAGGGCTGAGGCTTTGGTACCCACCTGGGCTTGCTACAGGAAGACAGGAAATCATGAAAGAAAGACCCAGAGAGAAAGACGGAGACCATGACAGAGACACAGAAAGCAGTCAGGGAGGAAGACAAGGGCAGAGAGAGACAGGAAGGAGAAGGTGACTCAGATGCCTAGCATAGGCCTCCTGGTATATGGGGGCATGAGTCTGGGGCTCGGAGTAGGGACAATTTTTGTAGCATTTGGCTAGTATGGTTGCCATAGGGGCAGAGGCATGGTGGCAAGGCTCGGGACTTTGGAAATCTAAGATTCTATTCTGACTCCTCCATGCATAAAGAAAATCAATTTTAAGGACTGGGTGTGCTGGCATGTGTCTGTAATCCCAGCTACTTGAGAGGCAGAGATCTGGAGGATTGAGATCCAAGGCAGCATGGGCAAAAAGTTACTGAGACCCCCATCTCAACCAAAAAACTAGGCATGGTGACACACACCTGTCATCCCAGCTACATGGGAGACAAAGATAAGAGGATCAAGATCCAAGGCCAACCTAGGCAAAAACTCAAGACCCTACCTAAAAGTAACTAAAGCAGAAAAAGGGCTGGGGGCATGGCTCAAATGGTAGAGTGCCTGGGTAGCAAGTACAAGTTACTGAACTCAAAGCCTAGTACACTGAAAATGAAAATCAGTTTAAGCTGGACATGCAGGTGCAAGCCTGTAATCCCAGCTACTCAGGAGGTGAAGGCAGGAGGACCTTGATTTGAGGCCAGCCAGGACAAAGTTACCAAGACCCTATCTCAAAAGATAAAAACAAAATGGCTGGGGAGCATGGGTCAAGTGGTAGAGGACTTGCCTAGCAAGTGCAAAGCCCTGGATTCAATCACCAGCTCCCCTCCTCCCCTGAGAAGAGGGATCTGGTAGGGTGAAAATTGAGGGTGAGTGACTAGGAACAAAACATCTCCCAAGTGGGCAGCACAGCGACTCTTTCCGTGTTAGCTCTCTGACCTATTCAAGCAGCAGGGCCGTATGAGGAGACTAAGGCTGAGGTTGCCTCAGACCACAAGCCTATATGCAGCAGAGCTAAGCCTGATTGCAGGTACAGGTCTCTCCCAGGTCCATCCAGCCACTTGGGGGCTCTGGGGCCCTCCTGGAGCCAAGGTGAGGAGGTCCATTGTCCTCTGGCCTCTGCCCCCAAAGGGACCTTCCTAGTGAAACCACAGACTGACAGCAACCTCATGGCTGGGCGAGAGGATGCCTCAGACTCTCATCTACAGCACTGGGACTTTCTTTCTAGGATCCAACCACAGTCTGCCTGCTGCAGCAGATACCTCATTCTTCAAGGAGACTCCTACTGCCCCCCACCTACCTTCTGGATGTATCCCCCAAAGTGCATCATATTGGACAGAGCCTTCTTCTTCCGGGCCTCATCCTCAGCCTTCCTCCTGTTCTCCTCCTCCTCTCGCCGGGCCCTCTCTTCCTGATGTTCAGGGAAAGGGAAGATAACCAAGAGTGAAAAACCCTGACTCTGGGCTGCAGTGGTGGTCTTTACGCCGTTGGGCAGGGGACTTTCTAAGAGTACCCCAGCATGCAGCACTGCAGGCACACAGGTTTATTGAGTAGATGAATGAAAAATGAGTGAATGAGGTCCTGATTCCCACCTGTAAGGTCCCATCCTTCCCTCAGACTGAAAGCTCCCAGCTGTTGGACCAGAAGAGGGCAATTGGTAGCCTTTCCTGGGGAAGGGATGGGAACTGGAGGCCCCTGTCCTGATCACTGGTGGCTTGTCAGAGCAAAGACAACAGCCCCACCCAGGATTGTGTGGTGCCCGTGCTGACTCATGGCTGAACAGATGCCTATGCATAGACGAGGGCTAGAAGCACGCTGGGGGTTCCGTGGGCCCACACGGTCACTCACAGCCAGGCGGTTCTGTCGCTCCTTCTCTCGTTCATTGCGCATACGCTGCTGCTCAGCCCGCTCAGCCCTCCGCTTCTCCTAGAGAGAGACACAGAGGCCTGGGAGGGGGTGTCAACAGAGAGGCAGGGACCCTGGTGCACCCTTCCTCCATGTGCCTTCACTCTTGGCCAGCTCCATGGACACAGGCAAAGGAGGGCCCTCATAATGTAGACCCCATAGAAGAGCACTCTGATGGAGTCACACGGGGGCATGGACAGACAGCCCCATCAAACGTTATTCATTGGAGACTGCCAACCAGGTGGGAAATGCTAGATGCTTCTCATGTCTCCCAGGAGAGCTATGCCCCAATCATGACCCTGCTCCATGCTCAAAATTGGACAGCAAGTCACTAGCTGTCAACCATGAAGAGGAAAAAAGGGATCACAGAGTCCCCCTGCTCTCCTGAGGAATGGTCTGGGATTCTGCAGGTTGCTCCCATGCTCCCTGCACTACTGAGGCAGCTGTGTTTCATGAAAGGAGGCAGGGACACAGGCGTTTGACTGGTGCTTTCACAGCCTGGTGTCAGGTTAGGCCCTGCTGGGGCCCAGAAAGGATAAGGTTCAGCTCCTGCTCCCTCCAGGAGTATCCAGGCCAGGGAAGGGAAGGTTGTGTCCCAAGGAGCCACCATGGGGCGCAAGAAACTTGGCACCACAGGAATCCTGCAGGAAAGCCAGCATCCAGCAGGAGACCCACTCCAGGGCAGGGTGCTGGAGGAAGTGAACCTGACAGAGGGGAGGAGGACAGGAACTGCAGGGAGCATCAGTGGGTGACTTGACACTCACGATTCTGTCCTTGAGAGAAACGAGCTCCTCCTCTTCCTTCTTCCTATTCTCAAAGTGAGCCTCAATTAGCGTCTGCAATTCATTCAAGTCCTTCTCCATGCGCTTGCGGTGGATGTCCTGTGAGGAAGCCGTGGGGCTGTGAGGCCGCCACCCCAGTGAGTTCCAGGGAGAGGTGGGAACGCAAGATACCCTCTACTCAGCAAGAGGCACTGCTCGAGGGCTGGCACACAGCCTGCAACCAGTCCCCAGCCCACAAGGACACAAGCTCTCATCATGGCTCTTGTGACCTGCTCTACCCTCGGCCACCACTCACATCGAAGTCCACTCTCTCTCCATCAGGGATCTTAGGTGGCACCAAGTTAGGCATGAACAACCTGTTGGAGAGAGGAATAAGGAGTCAGAGAACCTCCATTAGGGACCCAAGGGACTGCACATGCCTGAGTAATCAGGGCCTTCTCCTTCCTGCAGGAACTTCCACCCTTACCCCACCAAACACAATGATACTAACACCAATGTCAACCACATTGGCGAAGCACCTAGAGGACACAAAACTCTCTCACAAATCTTATTTCATGTATTCCGTACAGTATACCCATGAAGTGGTAGCATGAGTCTCATTGAAGAAAATTGGCTCAGAGAGTGACTTGCTAAAATCTATACAGCTAGGAAGCAAAGAAGCAGGCCAAGGAGGCATGCCTGTCCGACTACACATCTCTTTTGGTTGACCCTGCAGATTCTCCCCCATGAAGCCAGAAGCCCTGCAGTTTGATGCCAGTCCCAACATGTACTTAGTGTGTGACAGCCTGGTCCTTGGTTTCCTCATCTTCCTTCATGTCTGTGTGTTGCTGAGAGGTATCCAGTGGCCAGGAAAGGGGAAGGGGATTGACCAAAAGAAACAAGTAGCTCTGGGACTGACCTGGGCAGAGCTGGGTTTAGATGGTCCCACTAAATGTAAAGAGGCACCATCAGCTGGCAGGATAAGCACCAAGACAGAAATGTTCCCAGTGCCTTCAGGTACACTTGGGTGTATGGAACCAGGCCTCCCTCCTCTGCCCCTTTGCAGCAATCTGAAGCTTCAATGCCTAAGCTGGCCTGGTTTCATCACTTGGCTCCCCAAAATTTGCCTGTCTTCCCCCAGGTCCCACTTCAGCTGATGAAGGAGGGCATACTGGCCGTTCTGTGGTACAGGAGAGTGTGTCTGTCCAAGATCATGACTCATCCATCTCCTCTGCAGATGGGCATGACCCCTTCCATGCCAGGGTGCATAACTGGCAGTGGAGTGTAGAGTGGTCCCCAGTCACTCTACATCCCCAGCTCAGACACACTGCACACATGGATTCCTGTCTTGTACTTATCACCTTCCCCATCTGGGCTTTGTTTACCACAGGCACATCCCACTCACCTAGGCTTGGGTTTGGACTCCTCCACTGGGCCATCTGGAGGAGAGAGAAGCACACAGTTGCAGGGTCAGGAGGCTCAGACCTGGCCAAGGCTCCACCCTTGATGACGTGTGCCCCCATGGGCCTTTGTTTCCCTATCTGTACACAGAGTCCCTTCCAGTCCTAGGGATCCCAAATTCCAGAAGTATCAACAAACAAGCATGAAACAAGCATGAGAGGCCTCAGCAAACAGATGGCTGAGTCCTGGCAGGACACACATGCTGGGCAAGGAACTTCTTATCCACCAGTGCTGCACAAGGCAGATGGCTGCTCAAGTTCCACAGTGACGAGATGTCCTGTAGAAAGGTCCCAAGGTCCTGCCCTAGAATCCTCCAAGTCTGCCTTCTCGGTTGCACCCGCCAGAGCCAGAAAACTGATGGTGTGATTCCAAGCCCCAGCTGGCTGCCCATCCCTTGTGAAGTGCCCCTGGAGCCACCTAGCAGCCTGGTAAAAGCTACAGCTTGACAATGATCACAGCAATGCCCCACCACGTGGACCATTATGGCTTTGTCCTACAAACACTGCATCCTACTCGCATCTTGCCTGGGTACCAGAAGCCCCATGTGTGAATGTGACTTCTGGGTCCCACTGCCCCGTATGGACCAGGGTCTGGACTCCTCCCATCTCCTACAGGACACCACTAAGGCAGCTCTTCTAGGATGAGGAGGGGCAGACCAAACCCTGAAAGTGCCACCAAACTCCTCCCCAAGTCCCACCTCCTGGACCACCTCCTGGAAGGACCCCCATAATATCTCCCCAAAGCTGTATAGGAGGGTACCTTGTCACCCAACCACCCCCAATGCCCAACAGTCCTCACCTTCAGCCTCTCTGGCATCCTCGTCTAGGCCATCCTCTAAAGAAAGCATGAGCAAGCAATAAAGATCTTGTTCTGAGTCCAGATCTCCCCCAAGAGTTCCCCGGGAAGGCCCTGGCCAACATGCAACCTGCGGGAGCTGTGCTTTGCATCCATGTGTCCCTGGCCCAAAACTGCCTGACACAAAGGATGTACTCAGTTGATGTGCAACAGTCTATTCATTGATTGGACAATTGACAGCTGTCTCCCAGCCCAATGAGGAAGCGAGAGCACCCAGGGTGGAGAGTATGTTAAAGGTGCGTTTCTTACTGTCACCCCTTACACCCTCACCCCAGGCCCATACCTTCTGCCTTGGGCTCTTCTGTCTCCTCCTCAGCCTCAGCCTCCTCCTCCACTGCATCTTCTTGCTCTGAAAAAGTGAACCAGGCACCATGAACAGAACAACTATGCCCCACTGGCACCATGGCCGTACTCAGGACAGAGAGTGGACTACAGGTCCCCATAAACTTGAGGTCAGCTGATGTGAATGACAGGTGGCTGCTCTGTTCTTGGTTTAAACCAGAAGTCAGCAAACTTCATATAGTCCAAGAGCAAATCCAGTCCCTGGACTAATTCTGTAAATAAAGTTTTATCGGCACACCATCACACTCACACACCTACGCATTGACTGTGGCTGCCTCTATACCCGCACAATAGAACTGAGGAGTGTGACAACACTGTGTTGCTCATGCCACCTAAAACCTCTGCTCCTTTACAGAAAAATCTGCCGCCCCAGGCGAACACAACAGAAGGACACAAGCAAGCTTCTGAAGAGTCCTTTTGTCCCATTTGCCTCTCTGAGAATTTGGGAATCAGAACTGGGTCTTTCCACTACGGAGGCCCAAAGTTCTTTACCTGGAGGCCACTGAGAGGGCCAGAAACCTGGGCTAGGAGTGTTGGGGTGTGGTGGGTGCTGTGAGGAACAACAGAGACAGGGCAAGCCCAACAAGACACACAGTTGGGGGCCAGGTCAGGATAGAGGCCTAACGGGCCTTCTTCTGCCTGACGCCACTCTCCCTTTCCCCAGCAACCTCCCTGGTAACGTGATTTCACCCTATTTCCCAGCTTTCCACCACAGGCGCTCCCCCCAGTGCCTGGCACCACAGGACAGGTGAGGTGTTGGGAAAGCTCCATTCTAGGCCAGTGACTCTGCAAGTTCACAGATTCTTCCTCCATCTCTAAAAGAAACCTAATCAGTAATACTGTGTGGGTGGCCGAGATGGCCACACCAAGACATTTGTACTACCCAGAGGGTGGCTAGGAATTTTCTATTTTCATCCATTGGCTTAGCAGGATGTGGTCCCACCCCTTCCAGCGCTTGGAGGAGAGAGCTTAGGTGGACAGGATGGCACTCAGACCATAACTGTGCCTGTCGGAAGTGCTTGGTAATGCTTGTTGACAGACAGACTGACAAGTGGTGGCCACTTGGCAGAGGGAAAAGATACCTCCCCGGAACAGAAGGAAGGGCCATCAGGAGAGAAAGGGCTACCTCCACTCCCTTCCCTTCATCCTCTCTGCCCTCCTTTCCTAGGGCTGAGTCCTCTCAGAGGCCTGGAGATAACTTTTTTTGATCCCTGCAAGAGGCTTACCTCAAAAAAAGATCCTTCCAGAAGGTGTCAGAGTAGAGTGCCAGCCAGGAACGAGATGGCCAATTGTGAGGCCCCCCTTCAGGCCACTATGTTAACACCTTCCCCTCCCACCCTATGCTTTACTTCTCTGTACACACCCCCCCACCACACACACAACCAGTGGTCACGCAGCACCCCAATGAGGGGGTGCTCACTGCCTCCCCAGGCCTCCTACTGCATCTTGGGGCATCACGTGGGAAATTTTGTTCTAAAATAAAACTCCTATCTCAGTACTATCCATGGGATGGAGAACAGGTTCAGCCCCACCCAGCTCCTCAGCAGCACACATCTGAAGACTGACGTCCTGTCCCCTCTGCTCTGGCTATTTCCAGTTCCCCCAGCTGCTCTTCAGATTACTTTGTCCCTAGGTCCTTCCACCCCAGGGCACCTTGCCTAGACCTGACCATCTCATGGGGAGGGGCCCTGTAGAGAGAACTGGACTGTGCAGTGGGGTTACTTATTCCTGCCATGATCTCCCTCAGTGGCCACAAGGAGCAGGTGGGAAGACAGCTCAGCCTGGGTCCTTCCCACTGCCTGGCTCCTGGAACAATAGCGCAAAGGAGCCAGTGGCCCTGAAGGAAGAGACACAAAGTTCCAGAACTGTGGTCCTGGCCCCTCTAAGGCTGGGGAGGCAGTGACTGGCCTACCCAACACTCCCCACCCCAAGACCAAGGCCCCAAACAAGCAGGAGAGCAGGCAGCGAAAGCAGAGCAGGAAATGCTGTCCTACCGTCTTCGTCCTCTTGCCAGTCTTCCTCTTCTTGGTTCAGGGCGTAGCAGCAGCAAAGGGGAGAAGCGACACAGGTTAGTGTGGAGCTGAAAGCCCAGGACAGCAGCGCAGGCCAGCACAGGGCTTTGAGGAATAGGCCTGGAGTTAGAACTGAGTGATCTAGCATGCCAAACACCCAACAGTGCCTGGCTCAAGGGAAGCATCCAGCTCCCTGTCCTGCCTCCAGACTATAGAATCTCAGCTTCCCTCTTACTAAGACCCCAAAAAAGCAAAGCGAGGAACAATTCACTCCCATCAAACTTCTCCTGTGTTCCTGCCCTGAATGAATTTCACCAATCTCCCACAAAACATCTCTGGGAAAGTCAGCTGAGAGGTTGATATCAGTCAGGTCTGGCCTGGTGGAAGCAACTGTTCTAGTCCAACGCAGGCTCAGCGCCATAACCCTAAGGAAAAGGAACCCTAAGGGAATGCCATTATTCTAGACACAAATGTCTGTCCAAGGAAGAGCTGACAGCAACTGCACACAAACAACCTTTCTCCTGGAAGAGACACTCGGGACCGTCCACTGTGCGAGCTCATCCAGAGCGTGCCCCCCTTTGATCATCGACAGCCAGGTCCTTACCTGGGGCAGGAGGGTGAGGGGAGGCTTCCAACCATTAACTGGGGCAGGAGGGTGCTTGCCATTCATGGCAAGCAAGGCTGAGGCTGCACAGGGCTCAGTGAAGAACTTTTTTTAGCTCAGAGCCAAATCTTGTGTAATAGCTAGGCTGGCTTCAAATCCCAGTGAGGTCTGTTTCTCAAACCCTACCCCCTAGGGCCTGTTGTAATGAAGCAAAAAATCCTTGACTGGGGACATGGCTCACGTGCTAGAGCTCCTGTCTAGCAAGTGCAAAACCCTGAGCTCCAACCCCGTACTGGAAAAAAAACAAAGAAAAAACTCAATCTGATTCCCACCAGACCGAGAGAATCCCTGGAGAGAACACAACAGAAGTTGAAGCCAGCTAGATTTTTGATTCAAAAGATGTTTCCAATGGCTCCTGAAGGGTTTGGTGTGTCTTTGAAAACTGAAAATGACTCCTATGGACCCTTTCAGTTTCACCTGTGAATTTCTCTTCCTTCTCTTCTTTGGCTAGATGCTGTGGAATACCTCTAAATGAGCAGGAGGCTCCCCAGTTTCCACAGAAGGCCTGGGGAAGAAGGGATGGGTGGCTGCTAAGTCCCCAGCTCTCTCCCTGGACCTTCGTGGAGAACCTTCTCCTCACATCCACACAGCATATGCTGAAATGGTGTTTTTGAGCATTTGCTAAGCTGGAACCCATCTGTAATGAAGAAGCCTGGAGCATCTGGGGGCCATAGCAGGCCCTTTGTGGACGGGGTGAGGCCTGGAAGAAGGTCTCTCCATCCCTTCCTGTGTCAAGCTGTCAAGAAGGAGAGGCCAGGGTGCTCTTCTGGTGACATAGGGACCCCAAGCTGAGGAGGGTGATGTTTCACCATGTCCAAAAGAAAGGACAGCAAGATGACCACTGCTAGATAATAGTAATAAAATTTGGGGTCTATATTAAAATTTTGCAGATGGCTGAGCACCTTCATGTTCATAATTGCATTTCATAAATTATTAAATGACATGTTCTAAAGTGTGATCATGGTATTGTGGCCATGATTTTTTTAAACAATGCTTATCTTTTAAAGACAAATATTGAAATGCTAACTCATGAAATGATATGATGTCTGGGAATGACTCTGAATTTCTGCTCCAAAACAACTAGGGGCAAATGGAATAGAGATGAGAGAGGATTGGCCCTGAGATTGTGATTGTTGAGGTTGGCTGATGAGCTTGTTGGGGAGGGGTGCACTATTCTTTTCTTTGCTACTTTATTTGCATTTTGAATTTTCCATGGTAAAAAAAAAATAGAAAAAGAAAGCAAAAATAATTGGGAAAATTGATAGTAAAATGGCTGGTGGAAGAGATAGGTTTAAAATTTTTGTCTCAAGATCCGAGCATCCAAGCTGGGGCTGACTGCTATGTAGGAGCCACAGTTGTTGGGGGAGCTTTGCCCAGCTGGGAGTTCAGGGCAGAGACACACAAGTCATTTTCCCAGGCTC